TAGTGGGCACCGTTGATTTTCATCACCTCATATGTTGGTGTACTCATTAATCTGTTAATGAAACTGTGAGAAGCAGCAAGGGTTTGGGGGCCTATATGAATGTCTAGCTCCTACAGCATACATAGGGCACATATATGCAGACATAAACATTTTTTTATGGTTATGGAATTTAGCTTCATCTCAGAAGTGTTCTCACATCTGGGAAAAGACAAATTATTCAGTAACTGGTATGGAGTCAACTGGTCTGTCTGCTGGAAAAATAAAGTTGGATTCCCCACCTAACTCCTTCTTTCACCAAAATAAACTGAAGATGGTACAACTACAAAAAAAAAAATTCTTCTGGCCTTTGTAATAAAAATGCACACTGTTTGCCAAAACAACAAACCACACTCTAACACACATATAAACATACACATTTATGTACATACCCAATGTGTGTGTGCATGTTTACCTCCAGTAAAGCAGAAAAGAAAAGAATATGGATGAATGTTTTTTCAATACCCTGCAATGTAGGAGACTTTTCTAAGCACAATGACATAAATCCATAAGACACAAACAGGAAAATATGATAAATCTGACCATGTCAAAACTTTAAACTTCTGCATGGAAAAAAAAAAAGAGAAAGAAAGACTACAACAAGCTGAAAGGAAAGCAGGAGATCAAACAAAAATATTTATAACATATAGGGCAAAAGGCCAATATTCTTAATATTGGAAATCTCTTAAATCAATTAGAAAAAGACAAATAACCTAATAGAAAAATGAGCAAAAGTGACAAGTAGTTCACAGAAATTAAATACAAATGACCAAAATATAAATGAGAAGATGCTCAAGCTCATTTGTAACTGGAGGAAAAAATAATAATAATCTTTGTCACCTATCAAATTGACATTTACTAAAAAAGTCTGCTAATTAAAAAAATACCCAGAGTTGGTGAGGGCAGGGAAAAATGGGCATTCTCAAACGCTGTTGGTGGGAGAGTAAACTGGTTCAACCTTTTGGAAGCAACATGGTAATAGCTATTAAAATGTAAAATAGGGGTATTTTTTGTCTCAGTAGTTCCAACTCCAGGGAATTTATCCTACAATATAATATATTTCCACAATGTGGAAAGATATAAGACAATGCTGTTCACTGCAGCTTTTTGTCCTAATACCAAAAAAACTGGTAACAAACTTAAAACTGGTCCATCAATAGGTTCAATAAATTAAGCCTAGCCATAAAATTTAGAAGAATGTAGTCACCCAAAAGAATGATGTTGATTCGTGCACACTGCACACCACTACTGAGAAAGGGCTGGGAAAACTGGCTGTGGTATAGTATATGTTATGTATGAAGAACATCTGCAAGGAAAAAGAAGAAATTGTTAACAGCAAAATTTCTGTGAAGACACTGAAGAAATTGTTAATAGTGAATAGGGGAAATGGGGACTTTTTATTTTTATGCTGCTTAGATTTGTTTTAAAGATCATCTGTAGTGTCACAATTTTTAAAAAAATCAACCACTAGATAGTGAAAAGTGCTCTCTCGTTTGTGCTCTAGTTATAAGGCAGAAAGGACCTAAAAGAAGTAAGAAGAGTAGAGGTTTAAGGCCATCAGTCCAAGAGGTGAAGTTAGCACAAATGGACCTCCCTCCCCTCATCCAGCCCTAATCGCCTTGGAAACACTATTCCCAGGAACAGAAATCAGAAAAAATAGAACACTGCAGATCTTTGCCCCTTGGGACAGGGCGCCCAGTCAAGTGCTGGAATTTGATTTGGAGCCTGAATTATCCACCTCCGACCATTTATAGCCTGTGCCTTAGCAACAGCACAAATAATGGAAAAAAGCAAATTACTTACTTAGCTTTAGGTCACATGAATTTTCTAATTTTTATTTGAATATGAACACATATAACATTTCAACAAGGGTTGTTATGTGGCAATAAGCCAAGTACTAAGAAGAGAACAAGAGTGAAATAAAACATAGACCTGCCACCAAGACGTAAGAAATCTAGCGAGGAAGGGAAACGTGCACTCATCCAACCAGAGGGCAGGCCCAACAGGTTACCTGCTCAAGTAAAGGTGCGCAGACAGATTGACCGCATCTGGAGGGTCAGAGGTTTGTCCGAAGACATGGCATTTCTCAGAACTGAAGAACTATCTTTCCCCTCTTCCACTTACTCAACTCTCTTTTTTTCTCTATATTGACATAAAACAGGTAAATTTGATGGCGCCCTTTCTTTTGTTGCCTCATGTCACTAAATATAATACCATCTGTTTTGTATAAAAAATCAATTACTGTTAGGTATACCTTTCAGTATTAAATATATTACCATAAATACACCTTTGATTAAACTTTTATTTACTCGGGAGTTGTTTTATCATACCTATAACTACTGAAATAGCTAAAAATGTCAGTAAACAAACTTATTAACTGCATCTTTCCAACTATTCCTTATACACAAATTTATTAGCTCAGATCTTTGGTTCAGAAAATAAGGTCACCCTAAAGCAATCACTAAAAAAGCCAGCCTAGGATTTTAAGTCTTAAAAGTATATGATAATCTAAGCAAAACAAACAAAGGCCTGACTGCCATTAGTTTGTCTTTATGTGTTTTTGTTTTTATTTTTTTCACCTAAAACTGGTCCAGAAACAGACATAGAGCCGCTGCCCTTATTTGGGGAAAAGAAGGAGTAAGATCTAAGAACTCAAACCTAGAAGTTCAAACATTTGTTCTGTTAGTGTTAGGTACACTTCTCAGTATTAAATATATTGCCAAAAATATTTCTTTGATGAACGTTTTATTTATTCAGGAGTTGTTTCATCATAACCATAAACCATAAACCCATCAACCACATGAACCATACTTAATACACTTAACAGGCTTTCAATATACTTGGTTATAAAGAATGCAAGTTTTACAGCCAAAAAGTACTGTGTGAATCTGTGCCCCGCGACTTCCTAGCTAGTCACTTTGGGCGATCATTTCATGTATCTGAGCTTCAGTTGCCTCACAGGGTTAATTTTCCTACTTCACGGAGTTGTGAAGATTAGCAACTATCTAGGTAAATCATCTGGCACATTGCCTGGCACAGAGCAGACCACCAATAAGTGATAGCTAAAGCAATCAGTATTATTATTACTATGAACCCTAACTTTGGAAGCCAATGGGGCACGGGTACATCGAGCCACTTTGGGGAACCCAGGAAGCAAGAGCAAAACGGGCTTCTTTTTTGCCACACTTATGAACAATCAGAATAGAAGATTTTAAGAATTATGACCAGTCTCAGAACAAGTCGTAATAGTGGTTAAGGTTGCAGTAGTAGCTCTGCAGTCTACTCCAGCAAGTCTCCTTTATCACTTACTAGCTGTAAGACTGAGTGAGTTGCTGAGAGATGTCTTCTGCTCAACTAAAACAGAGCCAATGACAGTCCTTCAAAGTACTTTGTGGGGACCTTATGAAGATTAAATTAAATGAGATAAACTATGGAATGCTCTTAGCACAGCACCTGACAACAGTAAGTATGCCAAATGTGAACCACCAGACTGCCCATGACATCCCTGGCACCCCAAGGAGTTACTCACGGGGTCTGAAGAGCTTACAACACTAATATGTATTTCAGATATATGTATTAACTTTCAACAGTACAGAGTCCAGTACCGTTAATAAAACATGAATTTTTTTGAGAGTTCTACTCAAGTAGTTTTAAAAGCATGTAATGGCTGTTGAAAAATACTGAAACAATGGAGAAATATATAAAGTAAAAAAGTGTGCTCATTCAGCGAACCATTCCCCCACTCCAGCCCTCAGGTCCACTTTGCAGGGGAAGCCCTGGAAAGCACTATAACGGGTACTCTTCACACCCTTGTCTTTCAATATATGCATGAAGTTGGGAGGAGGTGGGATTAGATATTTTACAAAATGGGATCATACCATACATGTTATTTGTTGATTCAGCAATGTCAATGCACAAAATTCTAGCTCATTCTTTTTAGACGCTGTTTAATGCTTCAGATTATAGATAAATAATTTATTAATCCACTATTCTAGTTATTTAGCTTACATCAAATTTTTTGCTATTAAAAATAACTCTATAATGAACACTTTGTTTGAAGGGCATTCAACACGTTGCAGGTATTTCTGTTGGACAGCTTCCTAAAAGGAAATCTGCCATATCAAAGGTTTTACACATTTTATATTTTGTTACTGCCAAACTGTCCTCCATAAATAAAAGAAAGGATATTGTACTCAGTTATTAACCACTTGCTTAGAAAAACACAAACAAAAAGCATACCATCATGTGGAAAAAACATACATTTCAGGGAAAAGTGGCCCTCATCTTCAAAAAAAAAGATAGGAACCATAGTCACAAATCCTTATTTTATCCTTCGCAACACTATGGCCCCAGTACTACCGACCAAACTCTCATACACTTATCTTAACATTACTCAGACCCCTTCCTCCCCTACAACGACCTGGCTCAGGTAAAAACCAGTTTTCTTGTACACCCTGGTCCCAAGCCAAAAGGTTTGGTGGGGAGGGGGGTGCATCTGGCGGAAGGACTTAAGACCTGAAGTGATGCTATCATCATGCACCCGTGCCAAGTACTACAAAAACAATTATTCCATGCAAATGCTCACTTAAAAGCCCTACTCTGTTGCTGTTTTGAAGCAGCAATGGATTAAACCTCTTAATCAATAATCACTGGCCTACAGGTAGTTTACACATTTCCTTTTGTCCCACAATATTATTACAGTGAGGGGCAAGAGCACATAAAGGTCATGTTGGTAATTAAGACTGTATTATAGAAATATGCACACCCAAGATATGATTAAATAAGAAAATATTACTGGGTTCAGTATCATCATTAAACTTGCATTAATTTATAAATATTTAAATGTACCATATGATGATCATAAATAATCTTTTTTGTCAGTTTCTAAAGTAATGCAACCCATAAACCCTTTGAAAAATTACTGCAGAAAGACACAGTCAAGTAAGTATACAAGCCAGACTTACATTCAAATGCCGTGGTTGTTGCTTCGGGCAGAACCTGGCCTATCACATCCTAAACAAAGAAAGAATAAAGAAACACAATTAGCCATCTTTTTTATTGCTAACATGTGGCAAATCCTAGAGGAAATATGAGAACCTGGGAGAGATTTTTGAAATGTTGGTATAAACTATAAAAACATCAGCTCATCATCACACTTAGCCCAGCAATGTAAACCTAGAATTTAAATCTCTATGTCAGGGAGGAAAATCTTTACAAAAATCTTTTCTACTCTATATTAATAACATAATCTTCCACTCTGGATTCAACAGTGATACAAATGCACTGTTGTGTAATTACAAAAAAACACAACAACTGGGTTCTTTGATGCGAGGCTGAAGAATGCACTGCCAGTAGAAAGAATAAAGGGTTTGGGAGTCAGACTGGCGTGGGTTTAAATCTCAGCTGTGCACTTACTAGGTGTGTGACTGGGAACAAATTTACTTAACCTCTCTAAGCCTCTATTTGATTATCCTCCGGTATGGGTCTAATAATACTTAACAGATGTAATGGAAAAATTAAATTAAATACTGTAACAAATAGAAACTAGCCTAGCATATTGTAGACACTCGACAAATGTAGTTCCTAATCTGTAACAAGCAAAAAACAAGCTTCCATGATGGTGATGATGACGATATGAATCTATAATGCTACCTTTAATACAAACAATTTTTATCAACGTTTACTCTTAAGCAACTGGAAAACATTTAATGATACTGGAATAAAGTTAATCCAGCCTATGAAAAAGATTTTAAAAGTACATATAATCTGACATCAGTGTTTAAATGAACTTATAAAATTCTTAACACTTGAAAACCCACAGAGACAGCTTAACTGGAGGCACCGAACACCTTCGAGAAATAGTTCTGGGAAAAGTGACCCTCCATTACGTCCACCCCAACCCAAATGGCCTGCAAACCTCATTGCTCTCAGGGAACTCCGTCACAACATCCCTCCTGGGTGCTGCCAGGACTGGCACCCGGCAGCCGGCTGACAACGCCGCCTGCAGTATTTCTCAGCAGGAAGCCCACAGCCCTTCCATGCAGGGGGCACTTAGCAGAGTGGAGGCTGCAACTTCCTTCTAAAGGCAGTTTTTTAGAAGCTTGTGCTGCAGTGGAAATTTGCATAATAGCCTTGCCTCTACAGTGTTTTTTTTTTTTTTTTTTTTTCAAAAATAAATCTGTGCATATCAAATTGATCAAGGGGAACTATCCTGGGCAACCCTCACTCATCAGAGCCAAGATTATTTTTCCTTCTGACTGAAAGCAAATGAAACATCAACTGGGAGGAAGTATTTGTAAAAAAATTTTAGTGTCATAAAAATTCTTTCTACACACTTGTAGGTAGACAAGGTAAGTGGAAACTAGAACAAGTATGAAATAAACTCATAGGATCCAGGCGGTCGGTATAAAGCCTAAGCATGTGGACTGGAGCCAAACTGCTATGGTTGGACCATGGCTCTCTGCTGCTTGGTAGCTGAATGATGAATCTCTGTGCCTGTTTTCCTGCTGTGTAAAATGAGACCATAACTGTACCTACCTCGTAGGGCTAAAGTGAGTTCGTATTTGTAAAGTGCTTAGAAAAGTGTCTAGCACGTAGTAAGTGCCACATTAGTATCTGTTAAATACATAAAACCAGTCACCGATTACTGGAACATTATAAAGCATATCTCATAATGAAACCCTAAGCATCTAGCAATCAGTGGAGGATGGTCATTCCTTCACTTTTACATCATCCTCCCACAGCATCTATTGAGGACCTTTTCTAGCTAGTATTGATTGGTAAATAAACAAACAGAAAAGGAGTGGGGCCTCCACCCCAATCCTTCAAGTCTAGGTTATCATTGGTGACTTCCAGGGAACTCAGATCACTTCAGTCTTGAGATGTGAACTCTACAGCATTAGCAAACTAATTTTGGATCGTTCCTACTTAGGAACAGCAGACCCCATCAAACAGCACACCTCTGGTAACTCGCTAAAACTCCTGCTGGGCAGCGCCAGCATTCTTTGCCCATCAACATAAACAAGGGCCACACAGACTCTACATCTTAATGTGGGGAAAAAGAGAAAGAAAAAATGAACTTGTTCATGAGAATCATGGGGATACAACAACCATCTTGTTTTGCTAAAGCAAATAAAGTGGGACTATCATAATGGCAATGGGGTAAAAAGTATACAAATTAGTCAATATATACTGGTCATTTCTAAGCAGGGCACGTTTAATGATTTTGATGTTTATCTTTCAGTTTTGTTTTAAGTGATGTATTTCAAAGCAACCCTATCTTATTCTCAACGTGATATTTACCTAACCTAAAAAAGGTTTCAAAATAAAACCAGTTTATGTACCTTGATGGTGATAATTTTTTAACCCTTTTCTTCTTCTTGCTTTTAATAAATCAGCCAAACATCTGACAGACCAAAATCCTGAAGCATGTACAGCATGCCAGGAGCCTAGGCTCTAGAAGGGTAAGATCTAGAAGATTATAATCTGGTCACAGAGATAACGAGAAACTTAGAAGACTAACAATACAGAGGATTTACAGTATGATAAGAGCCAAATAAAAGACATAAATGACAAATAGTATTTGCTAATGCAAGAGGCAGGGAAAAGCCACAAGCTCAGTCTAGACAGAAATTTTACAGATGAGGGGAAATCTGAGCTGGGACTTGGGAGACAGAATTTAAACAAGAGGGAAGGGGGTACATTTTTTCTTACCACTGACTGAGCTCTCCTGCATAATTTTCCCCAAACTGGAGACTACGTCTACAAGAAGACGGGAAATACAGAAAGCTGAAAAACAGATAACCCAAGCGCCTCTGCCCTTGAGGACCAGCTAGGCCTACCTCACACTGCAGCCAGTCAGTCCCTAATTATTCAGTCAAAGCACCAGCCCAGAGAGGCTGAGTAACTCGCTCCGGGTCTTCCAGCTGTTTGATGGAGCTGTGACTGGAGCCCTCAACTACTGCCTCTGGGTCCAAAACACTGTCAGTTACAGTTGACTCGGTGACTCCCAACTGCAACTGGCTTCCATGTCTGGTTCCACCAAAACCTATGGGTGGCTTCAGCGTTTTCCCCTTCCGGGGTTTATGTTGCCTCATTTGAAAACTGGGATGAGGACAGTTATATTAGGTGAAGGGGAGGCATCCAGATTTCATTTGGCTTTAAATTTTAAGGTTCCAGGCCACAGATGCTGTTGTTTCTGTTGGGACTCTTTGCCAATTTCTTGATGAAGAGATGAGGTGACTCTGGAGAAGAGACCGCAGGAGTCCTCCTGTACCTGGACTTGCAGAACTTGCTAGAAGCAGCACTAGGATTAGCACAACACCCATTGCCATGACCCTTTTTTCAGGCCTTCCTGACAAAACATGCTCTACCTGGGCTTACCTGAGCATGCACGTGTGAAGACACAAGGCACACGGAGCTCTAGATGGTAGGACCATTTGTGCCAAGGCTACTTTTTAGGCCACGCAGCCTTGAGCCAAAGTATAACTGAGAGATGCCTGGGAAACAGAAAAACCAGGCCCTGTCTCTTATGCTATAAAAATGATACTCACAGAGCACTTACTATGTTTCTATTTGTTCTAAGTGCTTTATTTGTATCAATTCCAGTCTTCCCCACAACTCTATGAGGTAGACACTATTTTTATCCACTACTCCAGTTTTTTTTGTGTGTGTGTGTTTTTTTACAGATGAAGAAACTGAGACACGGAACACACTTCCCCAAGTGAGTATAGCAGGGCTTGCAATTTAAACCCAGGCAGTGCAGCCCCAGAATTTGTGTTTTTAATCTACTTTAAATATTACCTTCTGTCATCTCACATGAGTAACGTGAAAGAAAGCTCATGTCTTTCTCATCACAGACATTTAATGTTCACAGGTTTTAGAGGCAGGTGTCATTATCCCTGTTTTACAAGTAAGGAAACTGAGGCTCAGAGACGTGGAGTAACTTGCCTATTTAGTGGGACTGCTTGCAAATTTCTTCGATACAAAACCTAGATGGTTGTCCACAAAGCTATAACTGCATGCATCCTCTTTAAGCTCCCTCATTAAACAGTATTTCAGGGTCCTATGAAACACCAGAAACAGATGGAAACAGAGATACCCACCTCTTGCAAAAGCTTACCACTGAGTGGAGGAGATAGACAAAATTATGACAAAACTTGTCTGCTTTTCCAGAATGAAGTTGTGGGCACAGACACAAGGGTCACATAACCAAAACTACCTTGGAGGAAAAGTGAAGCTGGGCTGGTAGCAGTTGACCAGCTGAAGAAAGGGGCCAAGTGGAGACAGCCTGGGCACCTGGGAGAGCTCAAGGTTAATTCTATATTCCTGGTGCACAGTATGCTCATTACCCAAGGGGGCATGGTGAGAGCTGAAGCTGGGGCCAGGCAGGCACAAGCCAATCAAGAAGACGCAGGGGACCATGCTAAGGAGTGTGGCCTTTGTCATGAGAGGAAATCTATGTACATGTGACAATGTGGAGAACTCCAGAAGCAAAGAGAAGGATGGCATTTGGTGTACAAGATTGGAGGCTGCTGGCTCTCGCTAGTCCTACACACCTGAACATCTATAATGGTCTGGGTGGTCAGTAACATCCAGAACTCAAAGTGAAATACAGGAATCAAATTTTGATTGAGTAACCTACGACAATCAAAAATCACATCACAGATCTCTTGCAGATCACTACATCTTGCAGCTACGTTCCACTATCAATCTGGTACCTGTAACATTCTTCTAGGTAGTCCTTTCTGCCTTTGATACCTCAATTATTCAATATATAAAATGGACATGATGCACTCTATCTCAAATGTATGTTAAAATATGAGAAGTGGCACTGTAGCATGTAGGAAAAAAAAATACTAAGTAAAAGCAAAGAAATCTTGAGTTCTGATACTGATTCTCCCACTCAGGAGCAACATGGTTTTGGAAAGGCCATTTCACCTCACTGCACCTCAGTAAATATCTGCAAAAATGGACTCCCCAGGTTAAAATGGGCTCCTGCAAGGTTACACTAGGCTCTCACATTCTATGATTTTATTTGAACTACATTCCAAGTAAGTAATTATACATCATTGATTCTAAGATTCACATTTCCCCCCTATTTTACTGTCTCTGAAATTGGGCTATTTTTGCATAATGTGTGGTGCGTCAGTTTCATGGGCAGCATTTTCTCTTTCTTAGTGGTACATAAAATATTACCTTAAAACCAATGACACCTTAGGTTTGCTGAAACATGGTCAGTTAAAGTTGCCTTGTTTCCCTTTCGCCAGTAGACACCAAGTTCAGGGAACTCAGACAGACATGACTGGAATACAGCCAGGGACTTTCCAAGAGGAAATGCGGAAAATACTCTTTTCTACACTCAGTTTTTTGCATCCCATTGCTTGCTTCTGTGTGTCCCAGTCCAGGCTGTGAGCTCCTTGAGGGCAGGAGTGCAACCTGATTCATGTCTATTTCCCCAGGGCCCTGCACATTTGCCAGATTCCTGTCCGTGCAATTAATCAATGCTTGCGGTTGAAACAGTAAGAGTACCCCCAAGAGAGGCCAGCAATGGCCACTGCCACTAAGTCAGGCCACCAGGTTAAGATTCAGTGGGCAAGGTGCTGCCTACCCCACAAATCTCTGTGCCCTCGCTGGGATTTGGACACTGAGATTACCACTCACCAGCACATCCCTGAAGAGTAACTGCGGCCCGGAGTGCACTGTCCAGTCCACCGCACCACTATTTGGAATCTTGATGCGAATCACCAGCATCTGGTTCTCCATGGCATGGAAGGGGCCAAAGGCCAGCCACAGCATTACAGGCTAAAAGGGGCTCACATCCTGGGTAGGAGGTACCCACTGTCCCCTGGTTAGGCAGGGTTCCAAGAGATGACGAGGGGATCGAGGGGAAGGGGCTGAGGGTGGGGAGCAGGGAAGAGAGGAGGGTGGTCAGGAAGGGGCCCGCAGGGATAGCTGTCCGCGAGGGTGGACCAGGCAAGGGGCAGGAGCCAGTAGGAACTAGCGAAGGTCAGAAGGTTCTAGATTTGGAAAAGAGGGCAAATCAGGATCGTGAAGCTCTGCGGTCTGCGTGGGTGTGAGGAGACGGCGTAGAGATGATCCTGTTTTAGGGAGATAACAGCGGCAGGTGTTCACTCCTCCTTAGTGGACTTTAGAGGGTCTCCGACTGGAGGGGACTCAGTCCGGGGCTGTGAGGAAGGAGCCCCGGGACCACCAGACCTCAAGAAAGCCAAGGGGGCCCTCCGCCCAAGCGTCAGGGCGCGAGTGCTGTGCCCCACCCCGAGCCGGACGGCGCAGCGCGCGCGGGCTCCAGACCGGGCCGTTCGAGGCCGCCCGTTCCGGCGGCGGTGGCGGTAGCAGCGGCGGCGGTAGCAGCGGCTGCGACGGGAGGAGGAAGCCGGCGGCGAGGGCACTGTTACTCCGGAACCAAAACGCACGGCGCCGGAACCCCGGGACCCGGCGAGCAGGACCCGCCTCCCGCGGCGCCATGTTGGAAGAGGGCAGCTCCCGGCCGGACCCGCCCCCGAGCCGCGAAGGGCGGGGCCGGAGGAGCCGGCGCGCGACCCCCAGACCAGAATGGAGAGACCGGCTGGGCTACCCTCCCTCGGGACCCCTGTCGCCAAGTGATCGCCTGTGGCGACCGAATGACGGCCCTTTCATTTTCAGACCCTCGTTAAAGTAAAAATCTAACAAACGAAGAAGGAAATTTGAACTAGGGCTGTAGTCGGCCAAAAAGCCGATTGATAGCTTAAAATTGCTTTCTGTTTGCCGTTACAGAAACCCCAGAAAGACAACTGCAGTTCTCCTTTACCCTACGTTCTCAAGCCTTGTTAACTCAATGTTCACGGGGGTCGGGGTGGGGTGGGGGGGGTGCACCAGATCAGCAAGAGCAAGGCAAGAATTCAAAAAACAGTTGTCTTTTCGTTTTCCCAAGTCACAGATCCAGAGGATCGTCCTCTTCCTCCCACATTAGCAAAGCGTATATGAATGTTTCAGGGAGATCCTTTATCCCACGATTGACCTGAAGCAGTAAACAGCCCCTTACTCGAAAGCAACAGTGAAGAAATTCAGCGAAGAGTTTTAGTGTCTGGTGACAGCTGCGGTTGTGGTATCATCTCTTGAACCGTTGCAAAAAATATCCGGTCTAGTTCATAAATGAACTACATAGCAATGTTTACGTTATAGGTGATGTCGCAGACAGCAGCAAAAACTCTTGGTTATTTTTAAATGCCTTGTTAACCTCGGATGTTAAAGTGCGTGATGTTGATCTCTGATGCCTATACGGAAGTTTGTTTACTATTTTCGGCGTGTAGGTTCGTCCTCTTTTTCTAATGAAGGTGCACATATCGCTTTACTTTTGGGGGCTTAATTTTGTATAAACTCGGTGGTGCAGGCGTGTGTCACTTTCTCTTCTAACAGACAGTTGATTAATGCAAGAGTAAAAATAAATTCAGGTGAGTATGATACGAAAAATTTTCTGCATATTTTTCTCTTCCTGAGTTACTTTTATATTTAATTTGGAAGTCCATTGTAGGAGATAAATTTTCTCTTTTCAGTTATTGTAAATTAACAGATAAGTAGAAAATCTTTTAGTAAGATCCTCCAGATTAACCCTAGAAACTGCCTCTTTCCACCTGCATTTCTCCTGTGAAAAACAAACCGTTTACCTAAGGTCCCAAGGTACTTTTTATTGAAAGTCCATTTCCTATTATCAAGAAAATAGACCGCAAAATTAGACATTTTCTATGAACCTATGATATACTAAAATGGCTTATAGTACTACATGGAAAACCAACTCAATTTGTATTTTGAATTCTTTCTGGGTATGTATATACCCAGAAGTGGAATTGCTGGGTCATATGGTAATTTTAATTTTTTGAGGAACCCTCCATACTGTTTTCTATAATGGCTACACCATTTTACATTCCCACCTCCAGTGTCAAAGGGTTCCAATTTCTCCACATCTTCACCAACACTTGTTATTTTCTCTGTTTTTGATGGTAGCTATCGTACTGGCTATGAGGTGAAATCTCATTGTGGTTTTGATTTGCATTCCCCTAGTGATTAGCGATGTTGAGCATCTTTTCCTGTACCTGTTGGCCATTTGTATACATTCTTTGGGAATTGTCTGTTCAAGTCCTTTGCCCATTTTTAAGTTGGATTATTTATCTTTTTGTTGTTATAAAGCGATTTTTTAATGAAGCAAATTACATTTTACTACTATAAATTATGAGAGGTTTTCTTTCATGTCTTTTTACCTTGCTCTCAATCTTGAATTTTAACCCAGAACCTTACCCCAGTCCAAACTACCATTATATTTCTCTCCTTATCTGTTTCCATCCTTGCTTGTACTACCGCAATCTATTCTCAACCCAATTGCCATGATTAGATCAAGTCACTTCTTTGGTTAAAATTCTCCATATGGCTTCCTAACTTGCACAGGGGAAAAGCCACATTCCTTTCATGATCTATAAAACTGCACGTTCTGTGCTCCACACTTTCTGAACTCTCAGACCTCATCTCCTACCATTCTCCCATCCACACCAGCCTCCTCACTGTTCCTTGAACGCATCAGGCATCCCACCTGCGGGGGATTTGCCATTTCCTCTGCCTGGATTGCTCTTACCCTCGTATCCACATGGCTCACCCCCTCATGTTCTGCAGTTCTTGACTTAAAATGTCACATTCTAGCTTAGCACACATTCCCTTAGCATGCTACTGAAGATTGCAAACCAGCCCCAAACCCAGTCTATCCATATATACAAGCACACAGGTGTGCACATTTCCCAGTCCCCTTCCCTAGTTTATTTTTCTCCTGGCACTTACCACTACCTAATATATCATATGTGTTACTCATTTGTTTGTTTCCCCACTAGACTATAACTTCATGAGGAGAGGAACTGTATGAGTTTTTATTCATTGCCCAGTCCCTAGTACCTAAAATAGTATCTGTCACCCAGAAAGTACTTTAATAATATCTACTGAAGGAATGTATGTATTTTGAAGACAAAATGGACTGAGGAATAGGAACATGACTACCATGTGCATCTCCTGCCTGTCTTGAGCCTTACTTGTTTCTTTTGCTTTTCCATCACCACCACCATCAAAACTGAGACAACAACCATGATAGACTCCCACTGAACTGCAAATTTTCTAACAGATACAGATTGCCTACTATGTTCATGAATTCCGCTTGTCTCCTTCAGTGCCTAGTGTAAGCTCTCGCATATAACTCTCAAATAATTGTTTAATTTTGATTCAAAAGAACATGATAAGAATAGAGGATGAAAACAGTAATTTTTCCACTGGAGCATCCTGGCAGACACCATCCTAACCAAGTGGTCAAGGTTAACATTACCAGTAATAAGTCATGTTAGTATCATGGACTCTCTAATATGATGCAATAAGAAGGGAACTTGTCTTCTGTGGTCTTCTTCCCAAAACTCATAACCCCAATCTAATCATGCAAAAAACATCAGACAAACCCACATTGAGGAATATTCTACAAAATACCTGAAAAGTACTCCTTAAAACTGTCAAAAGAAACTATCAGAAACCTGAGAAGACTACAGATCCTCAATAGAATCCTGGAATAGAAAAGGACAGTAATGAAAACCTGGTGAAATCAAAGCCCGGAGCTTTGAGTAATAATGTACTAATGTTGACTTTTTAGTTACGGCATACGTACAATGATTATGTGAGATGCTAACATCAGGAGAAGTCTGGGAGCGGTAAATGGGAGCTCTCTGTACTATCTTTGAAACTTTTCTGTAAATCTAAAATTCTTCCAAAATTAAAAAAAACAGTTTTTTTTGAGGTTGTATTTCTATAAACTAGCAATAATGTCTTGGATTGTAAGATATTATTAATTATATTAAGATATATGTAAGATATTATTAATTATATTAAGATATAATTAATCGAAAGATAATTTACAATAACATCAATTAAACAAGAAACATAAACATTTTCCTCATGTTGCTTAATACCTATTAGTTTTTTTAAAAAAAAGAATATGAAGAGGCATGGGCAAAAATGATCAGAGACAAACCCCCTGAAAGCCTGACAGGAAAGTGCTCCCTGCTCTTTTTGCAGGAAAAGAAAAGATTAGTGGAGCCAGTTTCAGCACTTAGGCAGAAGCAGAAACGACAATGCAACAGATATTCATTGAGCACCTCCTATGTGCCCAGTGCTATAGGTTTCAGATGCTGTGAAATTAACTCATTAATTTTAAATGTCATTCGATTTAATTTCTACATAGTATATTTCCCTTTAGGTAGAGTAGGCTGGTGTTTCTGCAAGTTATTTAAGCTTTATGCATTGTTTAAACCTACCAATATTATTTTCTTTATACTAACTAACAAAATATGTATTATATTTTTGTGGCACTTTACAGTTTGCAGAGTACTTCCACATTGGTTATCTGACAGAACTATTTCATTCATTGTAGGAAAGTATAGAGTAATAGTTAAGAAAATGGACTCTGTAGACAGACTGTAGGGATCTGAAAAACACTTAACCATGTGTGATCTTGGGTAAGACTTCCTGGTTTCCATAGCTAAAAACTGGGCATAAAAATAGAGCCTAAGTCATAGGATTGTTTTGAGAGGACTGAATGGGTTAATATGTGTGTAAAGTGTTTAGTCTAAGACCTGGCACAAATAAATGCTATGTAAGTGTTAAATAAACCCTTTATTGTATATATGAAGACACTAAGATTAAGAAAGCTCTAATTTTTCTCAGTTATTCAACCAGCAATGATACAGCAAGAACTTAAACCATGCTTTTATGTTCAAAACAAGGTTCTTTGTATTACGTAGTAGAATAGAAATAAATACCAAACTAAATAGCATGATTGGGAATCAGACATAAGCATGCAAGAAAGATGATAAAATTTCAGACTTAGGGGAAACTTAAAAAAATCACCTATCTAATCCTCCGCCCAATTCAAGAATTCTCTTCACATCTACCTAGGGAAATGCCATGCAGCTTTTCTGAACATATTCAACAATAGGACTCACTGCCTTAAGCGGTAACCTATTCCAGTCTTTTCCCAACTCAAAAATTCTTCTTGGCTCCAAGTTAACGGATTGTTTCTAGTTCTGTTTAAAAAGCGTAAATCTAACTGATTCTAGTGTTTCCTGTTTAATGTCTCACTTCAGTTACTTCTACACATCATTGTCTTTAATATAGCAAAACTTCTGTATGAGAAATGGAAGGCACTTCTGAAATGCCTCAAAAGGATAATGCAATATTCCAATCTTTTATTTTTCAAAATACATAAAACAATGTTAGTTGATTACATCTGAGATATTTCAAAACTTGTTGCCAAGATCCATATTATCTCCAATTAGTGTCCTTTCCTAAAGCTCTTAAAGATGGAGGCACG